CGGGGGGTGGTGCTGCCCTTCACCCCGCTCCCGGCCCCTCCACCTGGGCCGCTGGGACCTCACAGCGGCGCTTGGGTCTCTGCTGACCCCGCTGCGGGCAAGGGACGGCACGGCACGGAGGAAGATCTCTTTATATCCCATTACACATCCCCTCCGCTTCCCCTGCGTGGTTTCGGGGTCTTTTTTTTATTATCCAAGAGCTTTGAACTTTATTCAGTAATGGAATAAAGCGTAAGAAGAAAGGACTGCAGCGTCCCTTTCAGAAATGGCAGAGGCACTCATCAGATCACAAGCAGCGAAGGCAGTCAGTGCCCTGACATCCCTTGTGAGGGGCGGCTGGAATCGCGGGGAGCGCGGGCTCGGCCTCCGAGGGCCTCTCAGGCTCTGCCACCGCATCAGAGACAGACACCCCCGGCCTGCACAATACAACCCCAGCCCCTGGTGGTTTAATACATCAGACAGGCCTGCTCGCCCTTTACAGGGAAATACTCTGCGAGGAGGTCAGGCCGGGTTGCTAACGAAGGGCTTTGCATTTCCAGGAGTCTCGTGCATCGTGTGCATCTCTGGGCAGAGAGGTGAAACAGCCTCTTGGGAAGGCAGAGGGGCTCCCATGGGAAACTTTCAGCTGGACAGAAGCCCAGTACGTGATCACGGGAGGAGAGAGATACTGAGGACACCCTAGCAGAGCTTTTTAATTGAAGGGAAAGGGTAATTCTGCAGTGTTGTTTCATTTGAGCTCTCTGGGCGAAAGCCAGGGAGGGGGGCACTGAGGACTGTGTCTCACCTCCACACCCTCCCTGGGTGCCCTCTGAAAGCTACGAGCCCTTCCTAGGTCTGCTGCATAACTGATCCTGTGTGAGCTCGCTGCCGTCGCCGGCTCCTGCCCGCGTCCTGCTGCCATCACTGGAAGCAACGAGGCAATGATACCTCCTGCTCTGAACAGCTTGAAAAGTGGAATATATGAAAGGTGAAACCACAAGTGGAAAGTATATTTGGATGTGGGAGATGTTCTCATCCTGCAGCCAGAATGATACCTCTGTGGGCTACAGCCCTTCTGCAAGGGTTGCCTTGTCTGACCGAGCTACACGCACACGTTCACGTTTCATGTTTTAAAATGTCACATCTCTCGTAGTCCTGACCCCTGGTAGTCAGGGCACATTGGTTAAGGCTCATATGTATTCACTGTTTGCAGTCATACATCATCAGCCCTTTGCGGTGAATATAGATCTTCAGTTTAATACAAAAATGACAAGGCAGGTGCACAGCTAGGGGGTTCTTGTTGGCTGCTGGTGTATAAACATTGCCAGGTAGGACTTTGCTGATCACTGATCAGCAGTTTCAACCATGGACAAAAAGTATCTCACGCTGTGCTGGATGGTGATCAGTGTGTGATCCCCGGGGAGTCATGGTAACCCGCAGAGGCTACAAAATTCTGCATTGAAGGGTGGTGCTGGGCTTGGGACCACTGGGAAGCGGGGGCTGAGAGTGTTTCTGGTGAGCTTTGTACCTTGGTGTTGAGTTTTGCCTAATTTCTATAAAATCTGCCTGTGCTGTGGTACCACTGGTTTGCTGTTGAGCCCCAAGCTGCAAACAGGCCAGGGAGGTGTAAGAAACACCGGAGTGGCTCACCTCCCCTCCAGCATCCTAAACTGGGACAGACTGGGTGGAGCAGGCTGGTTCTAAACTGCGGAAGGGGACATCAAATGTCCTCTAAGGCAGTGCCCGCAGTCCTGTTCCTGGCGCTGCATTGCCCCTCTCTCCACAACGCCACCACGGCTGACCGTGGAGGGGAGGATGGTGAGCAGAGGTGCTCTACACTGCCAGCAGACACTGCAGCAGTGGCCTGGGAGGGGCTGTCCCCCACAGCACCTAGGCATTCTGAAAGCCCCACACTTCCAAGAGCTGCACCTTGAAGTTCTCCTGGCAGAGCGGAGGGTTGTCGAAGGTCTCGCAGTGCTCTGTGCGTCCCCAGAGCAGGTTGGCGTCGAGGGACAGAGCTTGGCCTCCTCCCCCACCTGCAAAAGCAAGTGAGACAGTTGGGATCTGCTCGCCTCACCTTGCTGCTCAAGGGCCCAGCCGCAAAGGTCTCTCAGGATTGTGCTCATCTCTCTGCTTTCCTTCCTTTGGCCACAGTGCAGAGTTGGGCTGGGGCTGCCCTGAGCTGCCTTCCCTGCTAATCAGGATGTCAGCACGGAGGCAGAGCCCCTGGAGGGCTCTCTGCAGGGCAGCTGGCACATGGCAGCCAGTGCGAGAGGTTGCCTTGGCAGCACAAACTTGAATTATTAAACTGCTAAGAGAGCTGCAGAACAAGGAAAAGCTCCTTGCATCCCCACAGCCAGGCTTGCCCTGAACCTGCTCCCGAGCGCTGAAAGGCAGGTAGAGGCTGTGCTGCAGGCATTTCTAAACCCTTCCTGGCAGTGGTGGGGCACAAAGATTCAACTCCTGTGCCCAAGCCAGCATGGGCAGGCAGCTGGCATGTCTGCTCCAGAGGACCATGCCCGGCCCTTCCTTGGGCTGATACCCACCTGCTGCTCCTCTGCATCCCGCACAGAGCAGAGTAAAGGGCTGGCAAAGGACATGCCAGCCCCAAGGGTGCAAACCTCACCAGGAGGTTTGGTCTGTGGTGCTCCCCCTCAGCTGGCAGAGCCCCTCTGGGGCTCTCAGAAGAAGCATCCTTGCCTTTGTGCAGTTTTGCACTCTCCTGCTTATTTGAGGAAGAGGTAGCTGACTTAATCTCCGCTGACTTAATCTTTATATCCTAAACCAGGAGGTCTTTGCCTCTACATAATTATAATCTGGAGTAGAGCCCTTTCCAGCTGAAGCAGTGATGTGTTGGTGGGTGGGTGCCCACCATTCAGTAATTACCGATAATGATCCCTTCCCGTGACCCAGACATGAACATGGAGGCTGTTTTGGAAGGCAGAAGAAAATGCCTGATGGCCAGAAACGGGGAGAGACGGCCTCTCCTCTGCGGTGTGGGCACGGTGAGACGGTTCGAGCTGGTGCTGCAGCCCTCCGGGGAGGAGCTGAGGAGGGATGCGGGAGCGGGGGAAGGCGACCGCTGCCGTGAGCGCGGCACAGCTTTGGCCAGCTCTGGCTTCTTGATGAACACCCACTCATACCTTTCTGTCTCGGGGCACACCTGAAAATCAGGAGAAACATGGTGAGCCCTGACACCTCTCCATTACTGGGGGAAGACGGTACTGCCTGGCTAGGTGGGTTGGGGGCCAAATGCTGCGTGTCAGGTCTGCACTTGGGTCAGGGAAGGGAAAAGGTGTCTTGGCAGTTCCAGGGATGCTCTGGAGGACTCTGTGACTGAGAAGTTGGTTTTGTCTTTGCCAGGCGCTGCTGGAGATAGGCAGACATGGTCAGCCCACATTGCTGAGTGGGTGCTGGATGGATGCTGGTGGGGTACTGGTTGGGTGCTGGACTTTGCCCCCAGAATCTCTTGGACCAACTCAGCCCGCTCCCTCTGCAGGGACGCTGGAGCTGTTTTGGGAACGCTCCATCCAGGAGCTGCCCTGAGCACACAGGGCAGAAACCCACCCCACCACACATGCTGCCCTGCTGCCATCCCAGGAGGATGCTCCAAGATCCACCCATGGTTACTGCGTGTTGCCTTGGGGGCTTGGGGCAAACCAGCTCACCCAAGGCAGCAGCTTTTTATCTGTTTGCTCTGATCCAGCACAGCAATTTCTGTGCTGCTGCCTCCTGCAGGGCTAAGGAGTAGCAGTGAGATTGTGGTAAGGAAGCAGCTCGGTGCCACCATGCCCTGAGTTGTCAGAAGAGTAAGGGAAAAAGTAATTAACAAACTCATAAGCATAAACCCAGAAATAAAATGTGACTTACGGTGAACACAAAGCACTCCCCTGTCCCAAAAAAGCCTGATGTTGCCCCACTCTTTTTCCTTTCACTCCAGTCGGAGGAGAGAAATGCCCCACACACCTTTGGGAGAGAGAAGAGGGAGCCATCAGTGGGGCAGAGCCTGGGACCAGAGCAGGGCCCAGAACTACCGGCTGTCACACGTTCATGCAGGAGAGCAAAGGCTCTGCGAGGGTCCCTGGGGGAATCAGAGCCAAGTTCTGCTACACCAGCTAAATCCTGCACTGACAAGTCCCTGGTGCTATGGATGTGAGTCTGCCCAGCTTCAGTGACTAAGGGGGGGCTCTGGGACATTTGGGGGGTTGCTCTTTTACAGCAGAGGTGACTGCAGTGAGCTATGTGCTGGCTGATTGAGCAGGGCCAATTCAGCTGTGCTGGTATGTTCCCTGGCCCAGGCTCAGAAGCAAGAGCTGTCTCCCACCCCCCAGCCCAGTCCAGCTCCCAGAAAAGGAAAAGAATAACTGTGTGGCTCAAAGTGTGTGAACAGTATTGCAGCACGCTGTGGACAGGGGTCTAGGAGTCCCTTGTCCTCAGCTGGCCCCCAGATGGTGGCAAGGTGGTTGCTTGTTTTATGAGTCTTTAGAGAAAATGTGTTTTAAAATGGCAAAGACTCAGGTAACACTATTTTTTTTACCTATGAGGCTTTAAACCAGTCCCAGGGGTCCACACTAGTCGGGCTGATCCCGGTGTGGACGTCCTTGGCTTGACTGTGGCTGAGATGTGGGAACTCGTGCCCATCCTTCATACTAGCTAAGGAACAGAATGAGCTAAAATGTGTAGGAAACAAGGTTTTATAAGTCACCTTCTCTTGTCTGCACAAGGCCCTAGGGGGTGGCAGGGTGTTTATCTCCGCATCACGCTGAAGTGTCAGGCTTGGGAAATCAGGACTGGTAGGTCAATAAATCTTTGGGATGCCTGAACAATTTACAGAACTTGCCTCTGCTGTTTGATGAAGAATGGAGAGATAAAATATGGGTTTATGAGCCATGCTCAGAGTCCCCGGGAAGAGGCCTGGTGCGGGTTTTTTTTGTGTTATTTCATGACTTTCAAGTATTGTAGAATCTGTCCTTATTTCTCCTCCATTTCCCTTGTGTGGCTGCTCTTGCAATTAGGCAGAGACACTTGTATTTAGTACACTGAAAGCAAGTCCTGGCTCAGGCAAAGCATCTGCTGATTTCAGGAAAGTCTGCTTAACAAGGACTTCATGATTTAGTCTGTATCTACAATGAAAGAGTATCTCTCATGGCCTCCCTCCATCTCACTGACTCCTCTCTTCCCCCCCAGCAGCACCCTTTAGACCAGCCTGTGTCTAAAGTGGCTCTTCGTGCCAGGGGGTGCAGTTTGTTCTCTCCTGGGAGCTGGGCCAAACCCTGGAGCAGGGCAGGAGAGAGACCACGCATCCCCGTGGCTGCTCCAAGAAGTACCAGTGGGGTCAACCACCCTGTCCCCTTCCCGACATGGGCACCAGTACAGCCCACTTCTCTGCCTGGGAAATACTTACCTCCCCCTCTGTTGTTTTGATGAGCAGCACTGTTGGTTCGTAGCCTTCACAACATGTGTAAAACCTGCAGAGATGAAGAAGGAGGCTGGGTTGGTGGGGGTTTGAGACCCAGGAGCAGCATGCCACACAGCGAGCCCAGGCGTGTGGTGAGCATGAGGCTGTAAAGGATGGTGGAGGTTCTTCTCAGCCTATCGCTGTGCTGGCAGCTGGCCCGAGGGACCTCAGGGAAAGACAGCAGCAGAAACTCATAATCATGTAGCTCGAGCAGCTTCAGTGTTTGTGCAGGAACAGAGGGAGTTGTCTTATGTGACTTCTCAAGTCATCATTTTTGCTTGGTGAAGCAGGTAATAGCTCAGATTAATCCGAACACTAAGTCCTCCCACCCTACTACCATCAGGCACCAGGCTGGGGGGAATGCGTCATGGGGGGACTTTACCAAATGAGTTTGCTTTTAATTCGGATGTGTTTCATAATCTGGGCTCTGCACCACATTGCTGCCTTGGAAAGGTGCACGGTTGTGGTTCCCAGGATGTGGCTGCACCACTGTGCCACAGGGTGACTGCTTGCCTCTCATGGGCTGAGGGAGCACGCTCGTGCGCTAACGGAGACACTCCCATCACAGCCCACCTTCAAACACCCTGAGAAATGGGGTGTCATGGGCAGCATCCCATTCCTGGACAGCCTGGCATCCCGTCCCAGTCTGCACTGAGCTGCATCTCAGAGAAACACCCTGGAACTGAGCGCTGCAGGGATATCCCTGCTTCCCGCCCCCACTTTGCTCCATGGCCGTGGCAGTGTGTGCCACTGGGCCCTGGGTTGTCTCCAGCGCTGACACTGGTCTTTGTATTGTAATTCTGGTTATTGGTCATGACACCCGGGCTCTCTTAAATTGCGTTTAGAGGGTTTGATGTCTTCCCCATAGCCCTGAGCTTTGCCTGCTCTGCAAGTGCGACTTCTCAGCTTAATGTGCTCCTACAGAGGAGCAGGTTTGGGTTTCCTGACTGGAAACATTCATGCCGAGGCAGCCTCATCCCACTGGAAGGCTTTTGCTGCATCGCAGCCTGGGAAGTCAATGGCAAACTCATTTTCCAGCTCAGTTTTGAGCCTCAGGACTGCCCTGTGCTGCGTGCCGCTGTGAGGGAGCTGGAGCCCTGAGGATGGTGTGCTGGCTGCACCTGGCCAATTGTAGCCCACCCAGCATGGCATGGCACATCAGGATGTCCCCCTGCACAGCACATCCACCGGGCTCCGTGTACCCCATGAAGTGCCGAGTTGCTGATTGCCATCTGACTGAGCCTCGGCCCTCTCTACAGACAGCACGGGCCCAGATCTTGAACTGAGCCCAGATGAGTCTCCAGGAGACCTCAGATGTGCCCCACAGACATGTTGCTTCTTTCTACACCACCAACCTCTGCCCAGTTTTACGCCTGGCCCACCTGACCCCGCCTGACCCAAAAGGCAGATGACGCTTTACCTCTGCAGGCTGCACCCATCTTCTGAGGTGGAGAAGAGCAGCAGCGGGGGGAAGAGGGAGAAGCGCTCAGGGATCCAGGACCAGATGATGCGCATCTCCTGAGCCGTCACAATGGTGGAGCTGAAGTTCTGCATGTCGACGGCCAGGTGGAAGGACTGCCTGTACGAGGGAGGATGTCCATTACTACCAAGCTGGGGTGACCATCTGCTTTTAGGGGTGCAGCCCCCATGCCTCTGGTTTTGTCATGCTTTTTTCATTGTGAGCTTTCTGTTAACATTGCTAGCTCTAACTGTACAGTGCTTCCCCCACAGGGGGCTGTGAGGCACCCAGCATAGCCAAAGCTACTGGAGAAGCCCCCCCTGGGATGTATCTCCACTTTAACTCATAATTTGTCTGCTTAGCCCCAAGAGCTGGCAAACAGAGAGGTGTCCTTACCTGCTTTGCACCATGTTTATGCCCCTCTCCATTAACGCCTTCCTGTTGGCCATCTGGAGAAGCCAGATTTCCTTGCGGGAGAACAGCCGGATGCCAAAGGCTCTCTCTAGGAGTTTGTCGACAGTCACGTGCTCAGCAATGTTCTGCACGAAAGCCTGCAGGTCTGCCTTGATGTCAGTCCCCTCCAGCTCAGCGGAGGTCACCGAGAGCCTGTACTGCTTCAGCAAGGCCAGAGCAATGCGGTAGAGGACCTTCTGCCCCTCCAGCAGGTAAACATCAAAGACACGGATGGCGTAATTGAAGGGGAGGTCATGAAAGAGCCATGAGAGCCATTCAGAATAGACCTCAAAGACGTTCTCAGAGGTGCTGGCTATGAGTTTGTGAGCTGCTGGGCAGTGCTTGTTGGCCAGATCCCCAAAAGTCATGCAGGAGGCCTGGTGGGCCAGGAAGGACTGGTCAATGTAGCTGGTGTGGGGAGCATTGCTGGCGATGAGGCGAGAGATATTCCCGAAGCACTGAGCTTCATCTTCACTGTAGTGCAGCAGCAGAGCCACCAGAGAGGGGAGGATTGGGCTGTAGGTTATGTCAGGGAAAAGATTGCCAACACAGATGAGGATCTTCTTTAAGGCCATGACCCCTTCCAGGTTGAGGCAGTACGTGGGCATGGAGCATCCTTCTAGGAACTCGGGCAAAGGGTGGGAGCTCACACTCAGCTTTCCAAAGAGACGATTCGCGATGTCCCTGTAGACAAGAGCATCTGGGGTGACAAGCCGGCAGGCGACCTGCTGGATAAGCTGGTGGTAGACCTGAGCTCTGAGAGAGCGGCTCGTTGCCCAGTAGCCTTCTCTTGCCAGCTTCTTCAGCTCCTTTGGGGGCTTGCTAAGGATGTCTTGGGGGATATGTGCCTGTTGCTCCGGGTCTGGCATCCTGTCCCAATCCACAAACTGTCCACAGCCCAGACAAGAGGAGGTATTGATGTCCCAGGTGTCAGCCTCGGATGTGATCACGACAGTGACTGGGGATGAGCCAAACATCTCTGTAGGATAAAGACCTTTTATTCAATATGCTTCACTGCCCCAGCTGACAGCGTTTCACCCTGGCTGATGGCACTTTGTAGTCTTACAGCAACGTCTTGTATTTCAATAGTTATTCTCCCCCCTGCAAAGGGAAGTTTTCAGAAGGCTTTGCCTGGCTGGAGCTGCTTGCTTTGACCTCACCTGTTCACATCTGCTCAGCCCCTTGGTGAAAATGCTGTCCAGGGGCTCAGGGAAGCGCAGGGTCAGGGACAAACTGGGCGTCAGGGCTGCTTCTCCACACCAAGAGAGGCTCTGCAGCCCTCAAAAAAGCTCTTGAATTCCCAGCCTGTGACCTGCTGAGAGGTGGGTGCAGAGAGCAGGGACACAGTCCCTGTCCCCCAGGGATGACTGTGAGACAGCAGTGTTACACCTCCGAGGAAAACGAGCAGTAATCCCAGCCCAGCTTTGAAGGGGTGAGGAGGGACCCCATGGGCAGTGGGGGCTCAAGCAGTGCTGAGGGCAAGAGGGACCGTTTTTGCATTGTGTCCCATCACAAGGACAGAGCAGGGCCAGGGGGAAATGTCCTGTCCAGGTCTGGCAGCACAGGACCAGGCTTCTACGGGCATAGACAGATCAGGCAAAGCCGGCCTCAGGTGTTTACGCTGCCTCTTACTGCCTCCCGCAACAGTCTCCCCACCCCTCTGGCCACTCGGGTGTCAGAGAGAAGGTGCAAGGAGAAGATGCTGCAGTGAGAGGGATGGTCTGTGGGGTGCCAAAGGGTCCCCGTTTCCCGCATGACCCCGTGCACCTGGAGAGACCCCATCCAGGGGACAGCACGCAGGGGCTGGCGAGCATCTTGGGAAGCCCTTTGGGGACAGAGGGTCCCCGTGGGACCCTCGGGGGAGGCTCCGGCACACAGCACCGTGGCAAGGCTGGGACAGGCGCCAGCCCTGTGCTGGGAAGAGCAGAGTTTGAGCTCCTCCTAGAGAGAAGTGAGAGGCATTTTCCCTGGGGTTGCAAGAGCTCAGCTCCAAACCCTGTACAAGGAGATGGGAGTTATGTCTGCATGAGTGAGATCTGCTGGGTGGTGATAAATTGGCAAGTCAGTTAGTTCATACATTAGTTCTCTGAAGTATTTGTATTGGATGTGCTCAGCTGGGTTGGGGAGGCTAGGATGGATTGCAGTGAGCCAAACCTCTCTGCTTTGGCCCCAAGGGGACACAGGGGAACAGCACTGTCCTGGTCCTGTGTGCTACATGTGTGGCAGCACATGGTGGCACGTCGAGAGGATCCAGGGATTTGGGCTGCTCCCAGGCTGAGTCCAGCTCTGGTTCATGCTCTCCAGTTCGGTTTGGCCCGTGCTCAAGTTCAGCAAAACCAGCAGATCAGGTTCAGTTCTGGTTCAGGGAAAGGGCAGCAGTTTTAATGGATTGCTGACTCCCTACTTTGAAGACAGTCAGACCCTGAGTACAGTCACACAGGCTTTTAGCCGTAGAAATCAGGCTAAAACAAACATTGGGGCTGCAGCAGGCCTGTTTGCATCACTGCGGTCCCCAAATTCCCCTTGTCCTCACAGCTGCCCACATCATGAGGATGCTGCCCTGCCCGAAGAACTGAGGAGCATCAACCCGAGCTCACTCGGCTGCCGATGCCCCAGCCTAGAGTGCTGGCTGGTGGCTGCAGCTCTGCCCACCCCAGGACATGTTGGGGAAGGAAATGTGGGTCTGCTCCAGCCCCTCTCTTCTGCTGTGGCCCCGGCAGGAGCAGGGCCAGCAAGAGCCTCCTGCATCTTCCCCAGCACGAGACGTGTGGCAGTCCCCCGCTGCAGCTCACTCACCTTGCCCATGGCCCGTGTTGTGGCCCTCAGCCGGCTCGGCCGCAGGGAAGCCACCCGCCGCCCCCCCGGGGGAGCGGGGCAGGCTGAGCCCCACCTGCATCATGTGCCCGGCCTCCGGTGCACCCCGTGGCAGAGTCCCCTTGTCCCTGTCACCTGCCCTCACTTTTAAGGTGAGTGCCAGCCCGCCAGCACAGGAGGTTTATTTGGTGTAAACAGGGGAGGGGTGGAGTAGCTCCTACACCTGTGTCACCCCTTCCTGCCCCAATACTGCACCGAGGCTAGGGAGGGGGACATAAACACTCCGTGGGATGCGATAGCCATCAAACCAGCAACACAACCATTAAATTTAATCATTTATTTTTCCCAAGGATAACCTTCATTTTCCCACTCTGGGGTTCACTCCCTTTGCCAGCGTCACGGGGCAGGGAGGGGCAGGGCAGCTGAACAGCCCTGCCAGGGCAATCACCCGTCCTTGAACAAAGGAAACATCAACACAACCGGTGGGTTTGCAACCGCTTCCTGCTGGATGGTCCCGGAGGAGTCGGAAAGAGAAGCATGTGAGCAGCTAGTGCCAGGAGTCGGATGACAAATGAGAGACTGGGGCCATGAGGACTACGTGACGCCCTTCTGCAACCGCCTCTTGCACCCGTAGGGATGCTTTTTGGGGATGGGTGTGCCGGGGCTGTGCCAGCTGTGTTTGCAGCACTTCTGTGGCACTGGCTGGCAAAACCACCAGAGGAAATTTGGGGCGATGCAGATGTGCACCCTGCTGCACCCAGGGCCTCCTATGTGCACAGCTGCTCAGCAGGAGCACAAAATATGATTGTTGGAGCCACAGCTCTGGTGCTTCAGCATTTCCAATCTGTCCTCCCCTCTGAAATAGGTATTGATTGACTTTCAGCCTCAAAATGCATTGCAAAATAACAAACTGTATGTTGTATTCACAGACAAAAGAGCTGAGTTGAAGGAAAAGTACCCTCCAACAGCTGAGAGACACTCTCAGCAACATGGCATCAATCCACATTGCTACCTGGAGAACTCACAGTTCTGACTGCACTTAAAAGTGGGCATTTTTATAGGCATCTTAAAGTTTTAAAATATGGGTTTTTTTCCTTAAAAAACGGATTATTTTTTTCTCCTCTGATAACAGTAACTGTGGGTCATTCCTGCCTTGCCTCTCTGCCTGTGGGTTTGCAGGGTCTGCCTGCACCTGCAGCACGTCCCTGAGCATCCACCAGCACCACTGGTCTTGGGGCATCTGCCTCCAAGCAAGAGCAGTCCCTCTGCAGACCCTCTGTCCTGGATGAAGCTTCTCCTCTGTGATGTGCCAAATTCTGATGAGAATGGCATGGCTGTCCTGTTGCCCCTCTCCTTCCTTTGCTCCTGACAAGCTGGGAGCCTGAGGAATTGGGGGTGAGGGGCCATGTCATCAAAGGGCCCCCCAGGGTGCTGTGCTGAGTGGGAGGGAGCCAAGGGTCTGTTTCCCAGCGGGAGGCTCCTCCTGTGCACCCAGAGCCTATCTGTGCACTCCACGGGTGGCTGAGCTCCACACACTGCATCTGCAGGGGCGGTGATGACCCCCAGCTCCGCTCCTGGGGCTCCCAGGGGGCCCCCATGCTGCACCCCACTCTGGTTCCTGGTGCTGAGGGGTTGTTTGTTCTCCCTCCAACTCAAACCCTTTTGCCCAGGCTTGTACAGCAGTGGGTCCTCCTGCCTTTCCACAGGACCCTGCTGGCTGTCTTCTCATTTGCTTTTTCTAGGACAGCAGATGCCTCTCCCTGCCAGACTGAGGCAGCTCTGAAACCTCCTGCAGCCCCCCCACCTTCCTGCCTGCTCCTGGGCAGACACTCTGCTCACACTGAGAGAGGAGGTGGAAGTGAATTAGGGACGGTGTGAAATGAATCATTGCTTCATGTGTTTTTAATGGTGAAAAAATTAAATATGTAGAGGCTGTGCAGGCTCCGGACAAGCCACACAGCTGAAGGCCATAAATGTTTCATGCTAACTGCCTGCGAGAGGAGCCAGCCCCATTTGGACGTGCAAAGAGCTGAGCTTCACCCCGGGATGGAGCTGAGAGCAGGGACTGCCATAGCCAGTGGGACTCCCTGAGCTGCCCCACTTGGTGCCCAGGGCACTCCTGGCACGTGGATCCTCCTTGGCCACGGCTCCAAGCGCCTGTCTTGAGAGCATCGTCTGTGCCCCTCCACGGCAGCCCTGTCCCGCAGCAGGAGGGGGACGTGTCCCTGCTCCCCATCCCAGCTCGTCCCAGCCCTGCCCAGCTGCTGCAAGGGAGCAGCTGTGAGGTGAGGTGGTGCCTGGGGGTGCTCAGCATCTCCCCAACCCCACGGGCAGCACTGCACCCCACTGCGCGAGCAGCTCCTCGTACTCCTCGCCCAAAAGCCAAAGGGAGCACAGGGGGTGTTGCAGCTGCCTGTGAATACCCTGACGAGGACACGCTCCTTACCGGGGCATGCACAGCAGTGTGGTAGCCACCCCATGTTGTGAGGGCAATAAAACATCGCTATCAGTGCCTTGGTGCTGCTTTTCAGGCACCTGTACTGACGTTGCATTGATTTGCATCATCAGCCACACCCAAAAAAAACCCCCCAACCTGAGAGGCCAAATCCTGGCACATCACACATGGGAAAAGCTTGGATGGAAGCTGCTGTAAAAGCCAGCTGGTTACTGCAGAGCCCCTCGCAGCCAAAACATTGACAGTGTCAACCCCTTCCAGTGTCAAGCAGCTTCCCGACAGCCCAGCCCTGCCCGCTGCTGCTGGCAGGGGGACAGGGACGAGGGGGACAGTGGCGTGGGCAGGGGGAGGCACTGATGGTCATCTGGAGGTGGGCAGACAGGGGATGGGCTCAGGATGTGGAGAATAGAAATGGCAGCTGCCATAAGAGAAAGGCAGGACCCAGGGAGAAAAGGTCACCGGGAGCCCATGGGGCTGGAGCAGCCCTGCCCGAGGGGCCAGTGGCGTAGGGAGGTGTCGGGGCACTGCAGGTGGCACCACAGGGGTGTTTTAAAGTGACCCTTGAACATGAGGAGCTGCAGCCCAGGGTGGGAAAGGGACAGGAGGATCTACTGCTGGGCCTTGTGTTCATGTGGTGGTGGGGAGGGGAGGAAGGGGAGAGGCAGGAAGGAAGGAAGGACAGAAGGAAGGAAGGATGAAGAGAGGATGGAGGGGGAAGGGAGGACAAGGTGGGAGAAAAGGAAAGGTGGGAGGGAGGAAGGAAGGAAAGGGGAAGAAAGGAGGGTGGGTTTGCTGCAGAGAGGTGCTAACCAGGGCAGACAGCCCACTGGGATGATGCAGTGCCTGGACACATCCCACGTGGTGCTGGATGGTGCTAGACGGTCTCAGGGCTCGGTACCATGAGTCACCCCATTGGGGCATCAGGCACAGAGGCTCCTCGTCCAGTTTAATACACTGGTATTAAAACACTGGTGTAAAAACCCTGAAAAAAACAAAAAAGCAACTTTTTTCCATAAAAAAACCACTTCTTTCTTAAGTTACAAATCATGACAATGGATCCTGGTGTGCAATAATGTGAGGATAACACTGTTGGGATGCAGAGTATCGATTCCTGCTTCCCAGCACTTTTCTGGTCCCTCCAGACTTCACCACTCAGAAATGAACTGTTCTGACACTCAGGGCTGTTATTTCACAGAATTACAGAGGCCGGGAAAATTGCATAAGCACTGAGCAGTTGGTCCTTCTGTTGGGCTGGATCTTTGCACCTTCCAGTGTATTTTGTGCTTTTCTAGTAGCTGAAAAATGGCTCCTGGAAAATCAGGAAGAAGCAACAGACTTGGAAGCAGTTTTGCTCCTGACCCAAGCACCTTCCTGCCATTCCCAGGTTCCTGAGGGTGTGGGGATACCCCCGCCTGGAGGACACCAGCTGTGTCCCTGCGCTTTCTCTGCCTCCTGGTTTTCTCTGTCCCAGTTATTCTCCAACCCACTGTGCTCCCCTGGCACACTTTGGGTTGAAGGTTCCCTCGCTGCCATGCTTATAGCTATACATTTTAATCCAGACCATAATATTATATAGCAATATACAGGTGCCCCAATGGAATCAAGACACCCAAGGCAGATGCAAGGTGCAGGCAGAGACTGTCATGCCCTGGGGAGCTGTTGCCAAGTTGAAAGCTTGCCACTGACATCCAGAACTGAAAATGTAAAGGATTTCCTTTTTCCTCAGCAGCAAAGGCCAGAGGTGTGCCACAGCCTGAGCCCAGCCTGATGCACAGCCCTGCATCCCTCCCATTGCAGCAGCATCACTGAGTGCGTGCTGCAAAAATCCCAAATCCCCCTTGGGCTTTAGGAAAAGCATCAAATACTCTGGAGGTGCCAGAGTATTCCCAAGAGATTGCAAAGGCTCCCAAGGGGGCCCTGGCTGCAGATTAAACTTGATGCTCTGGAAACATGGCTGGGGATGAGGGGACGAGGGGTTTCAGCTGCTCCATGCTTGGGAGGGCTCTACCCCTCCTGCCCTGGCCTCACCCATGGTGTGGGCAGCTGAACCCCGTGCCTCAGCCGAGGGAGCAGCTTGGGGCTGGCAGCAACCGCGTCTCACAGAACTCCAGAATCATTTGGGTTGGAAAAGCCCTTCAAGCTCCTCCAGTCCAACCATGACCCTCACACTGACCGTTCCCAACTCCACCAGATCCCTCAGCGCTGGCTCAGCCCGACTCTTCAACCCCTCCAGGGATGGGGACTCCCCCCCTGCTCTGGGCAGCCCATTCCAACGCCCAACAGCCCCTTCTGCACAGAAATCCTTCCTCAGAGCCAGCCTGACCCTGCCCTGGGCAGCTTGAGGCCATTCCCTCGGGGCCTGGCGCTGGGGCCTTGGCTCCAGAGACTCATCCCCCTTCTCTGCCCCCTCCTGGCAGGGAGTTGCAGAGGGCCGGGAGGTCTCCCCTCAGCCTCCTCTTCTCCAGACTGAACCCCCCCAGTTCCTTCAGCCGCTCCCCAGCAGACCTGTGCTCCAGACCCTGCCCCAGCTCCGTTGCCCCTCTCTGGCCACGCTCGAGTCATTCAATATCTCGGCCACCACGTCTAGCCCAGCGGAGCTGTGGGAGAGTGAAGCCCTGAGCAGTGCTGGGGACAACCGTAGCTCCATAGCCTAGCGCCTGCGCACGGCGGGCTTTGGGCCTCGGTGGGCGCCGTCGTCACGTGACCGAGGCGGAAGCGCGGGGCTCTTCCGGGCGGCGGCGGCGATGGCTCCGGACCCCTGGTGAGCGCTGAGCGCGGTTCCTTGGGCTGGGTGTACTGTCGGTGTCCTCC